CATGTATTACATATATATACATATATATGCTTTTGGTTTTTGGAGACAGAGTTTCTAGTATCCTTGGCAGTTCTGGGACTTGCTCTGTAGACCAGAATGGTCCCAAACTCAGAGATCTGACTGTCTCTGTCTCCTGAGTGCTGGGATTAAAGGCGTGCGCCACCACTGCCTGACATCCTCAGTACATCCTTTTTTTAAAAAAAACTTTCTTTTTATTTATTCTTTATGTCCTTCACATCATGTATCTCCATCCCATTCATTTCCCTGTCCCTTTGTATTTTCCCTCTGCTCATGCAACCTCCCCCCCCCAAATAAAGTAAAATTTAAGAGAAAAAAGTGGAAGAAGAAGAAGAAGAAAAAAAAAGGAAAAAAATCTCCTTATGGAAGCTGCAGTGTGGCACAGTGAGTCACGCAGTGAACCCTTTTGTCCATCCATCTTTACTTTCAGGTGTTCACTGCAGAGTCACTGGTCTGGTTCAAGGCCTCTGGCTTCTGCTACACTATCGATGCTGGGCCCTCACTGGGACTCCTCTTGGATATCCTGTTGTTGCTCTTTGTCGTGGCCATCCTGCAGCTTTGGGTCTGCAGGACCAGCCCCTTCACATGCTCCAGCAGATCAGATGTTGGGGTGGCCAACTCATAATCTTGGTTCTGGGCCTGGGTAGTGGCAGGGTTGGTGAGCCGGCCGGCTCTCCCCCGTCCTCACCACCAGGGTGCGCTCTCCTGCATTACCCCAGCTATTTCACCCCTTGCAGTGATGAGCAAAGGGCAGGGCCAGTTCTCCAGCTTTCACACCCCCAGGGTCAGCTCTCCCGCACCTACACCATCAGGGCCAGCTCCACTGTGCTGCCCAGGCGAGGAGCAGGGGCCACTCTCCTAAGTGCTGTAGCTAGTGAGGAGCAGTGACAGCTCTCCCACTCTTATGACCTCAGGGCCAGCTGTCTTACCTGCCACAGGTGGTGAGGGGTAGGGGTGGGGCGTCTCTCTCCTGCCCATACCACCATGTGACAGATGATGGTGGGGCCATATCTCCCATGCTCATGTTCTTGGGCAGTTCACTAGCACCCCCATTAGTAGGGTCAGCTCTACTGTGCTGCCCAGGCGAGGAGCAGGGTCCATTTTCCAGAGCGCTGCAGCTGGTAAGGGGGAGTGTTAGCTCCCTTGCACACCACAGGTGGTAGGGGAAAGGGGAGGGAATCTTTCCCTCACCCTCACCACCACATGTCAGACAAGTGGGATGTGGCCAGCTATCCACACCCTCAGGATCAGCTCACTGTGCCTCTGCCTACAGGGTCAGCTTTATTGTGCTGTCCAGATGAGGTGCAGGGCCCATTTTCCAGAGTGCTGTAGTTGGTAAGGGGGAGGGGCAGCTCCCTCATCTGTTACAAGTGGTGATAGGTGAGGGGGAAATATAATCTTAACATACAAGTCACCATGAACTGATTAAAATCCTAGTCAGGTCATGTGACTCTGCTTAGTACTACCTGTGGCTTATTACATCACTCAGAGTCAAGTCTGACACATAGTAATTATATGAGAATTTCATACAATGTATTTTAATAATACATTCATCTCCTTTGCTCCAACTCCTCCTTGATTCCCTCCACCTTCCTCCAACCAGCTTCGAGTCCTCCTCTTCTTTTTCTCTGCCTCTTCCTCCCCATCAAGCCATCTCATAGTGGACCTTTGAGGCAATCAGAAAGTGGTTGGTTGTAGTTGGAAGTTTGCCTGGTTTCAGCCGGCACCGAGGTCCCACAGCTGCTTATAAAATAATCACACAGAGGCTTAATATTATTTATAACTACTTGGCCATTAGCTCAGGCTTGTTACTGATTAGCTCTTATGCTATTCTTAGCTATGTTTAGCCACGTGGCTAGGTACCTTTTTTCAGTTCTGCCTTCACATCTTACTTCCTTTCTGTCTGTCTGGCGACTCCTGACTCTGTTCTTCCTCTTCCCAGCATTCCTTAAGTCTGCTCGCTCCACCTATACTTCCTGCCTGGCTAATGGCCAACCAGCATTTTATTAAACCAGTGTGCAGAAGCATCACCCCACAGCAGTTGGTTACTCCATTTCTGACACTGTTGCACCAATGGGATATCTTGTCAGGTCGGTTGTTTTTGTAGCTTTCAGGGCACACAGCTGGGTGGCTCCCAAGGCTCTTCTTAGTCTGGTTTCTGCCCCCTGTCTCACCCTTAGCTCCTACCACTTTGTCCATAATGGTTTGGTTGCTGGTTCTGGAAAATGGCAAGATGGATTTTGTCCACAGCCTTGGTACTTATTCCTCGAGTATCTCTTTTCTCTTAAGTGTCATTATGGACTTGTCACCACAGAGCAGCTGCTGTCTCATCAGTGAGGATCTGACAGCAGATGTCCCTACCTCAAAGTGTCACCCTCTAGGCTCTGCTTTCCTGCTTCCTTAACCCACAGTATTGTTCTCACCAGATCCACTCCATTTTACTTAAAACATTTCAGTTATTACCTTTACTGCCTACTAGATTTTTGTCTGATTTGTTCACTTTTTTTGTCATGTCAGGCATAAGCTGAACATACAAGAAATGCTGATGTATACATAGCTGTTCAAGGTGTTTGCTCATCAACTTGTGAACCTTCCTCATAAGGTCCACAGGCCCAGTGAATACTACTAAAGAGAACATGACCTCTTTTATTTTTCCTCAAGTGTCCAGTACAATGGAGATATTATATCATTGGTTCAAAACCCCAATCTTTTACCACCATATTAAAAAAAAATCTTTCTCCTTTTCTGTTTTCCTCTCTTCCTTCTGCTATCCCATCATAAAGGCTGTGGAACACTATTCACTCCTGTACTAAGTTGAATACTGTCCATCAGAAATTCACATTTATCTGGAGCCTGGGGAATTGGGTCTTTGCCAATGTGATCAACTTATGGCAAGACCATACTGGATTAGGGTGGGTTCTCAGTTCAACATAATGTATGCACTTTCAATAAGGGGAGTTTGGACACAAAGACACAGACATCTATGGAAGAAGGACACACAAAGATCAGCCAGAGACAAAGTTTCTCTGTCACAAGCCAATGAGCACTAAGGATTGTTGGCAACAACTAGAAGTTAGAAGAGGTGAGGACAGGCCTGTCAAAGGTTTCAGAGTGAACATGGACTCAATAGTCTCTTGATTTAGATGTTTTGTCTTTAGGACTAGAAGAGAACAAATTTTTCTTATTTTAAGCCACCAGTTCATAGCAACTTATTCTGGAAGTCTCCCAGAACACACTCTCCAACTCTTCCCTCAGATTGTTGTGGAATACTTTTTAAAGATGTGTTACATTTATTTATGCTGTGGAACATTTGTTTAATGACATAAAGATGTTTATGTTTCATTCACTTAACCCTGTGAAGCTGTGTTACTGTGCCTGTCTAGAACACCTGCTGGTCCAATAAAGAACTGGATGGCCAATAGCAAGGCAGGAGAAAGGATGGGCATGGCTGGCAGGCAGAGAGGAGAACAGAAGGAGAACTATAGGAGGGAAAGAAGAGTAGCCAGAGAAGGAGGAAGACATCAGGGGCCAGCCACACAGCCACACAGCCACCCACAGAGTAAGCATGAAAATTAGAGATACAGAAGTAAGAACAGGAAAAGCCCAGAGGCACAAGGTAAATGGAATAATTTAAGTTACGAAAAGCTGGCTAGAAACAAGCCAAGGCAAGGCAGGGCATTTATAAGTAAGAATACACATCTGTGTGTGATTTGGGAGCAGGATGGTACCCCCTCCCCACACACAAAGACATGAAAGAGTAAGAAAGCAAAAGAGTAAAAAATAACCAACAACATCAAATCTCACACTACTTGGCAATTCTGAGACCACACTTATCTCACAGATTTGGAAACAATTACAATTTTCCCATCAACCATTCTCTCATATGTGTAACACTTCAGATTTTTGCTTTCATTTTTCGTCTTTTTGTGTTTTATTTCAAAACCCTTCAGCCTACTTATGAGCACAAAGCTTTCCTTGGTCTGAACGCTTTAATGAAAGAAGCTCTAACACAGTATGGGAGACTGTGGTTTCCATATGGAGAAGATGTGGAAGCAGGAGCCAGCCAGGCTCCCAAACATCTAATGTGATTTCTCGCCTCGTATTTGTATACCAGAACAATCCCTAAGATCCAGCCTAGCAGCTTTGGTTTTTAGGAGGCTTGAAACAGAGCTGGGGGAAAAGCCTTTCAGTGAGGTGTGCTGTGGGTCTTACGATGCATCTTTGTGGTGACAGAATTGTAACTGATTCCCTTTGAAGGGAGGTGGAAATGGCTCCCTGGAAGCTTTCAACTATTGCCTAGCTTCTCAATCGACCAGTCAGCCTTACCCTTTAAATTTCTCCCTGCTGGCATGGGAATGAAGAGTCCTTTAAAAAAGATCTGCCAAATAGGCAATAGCTTTTCCAGTCCAAAGAAAGGGCCAGGCATCCACCAGGGATTTGTCCCACTTCTTTCCCCCCTCATACTCCAACGTTCCACACACCCCACCAAAATAAATTTTGCCACTGGCTAATTTCTTTCAATTTTTCCTTTTCCTGGATTGTCCTTTTGATTTATTCTTTCACTGTCATGCTGTTT